CCCCAAAACCCCAAAACCCCAAAACCCCAAAACCCCTGTTCTTAGTCGTTGGTTGAGATAACATTATTGATTCAAAGTTTTAGGAAAGAGGTCATACTATGCCCTCTTTTGCCATGTCTTCCTCTGATTTCTTTTCTTCTGTAATGAGCAAATAGAAAAATTTGTGTTAATCTTCGGAGAACATAATTCTCCTCTTTTATTGTTTTTATAAGGAGGGATAGTGTCCTGATTGAGCATTATTCTCTTGAGGTCTTCCTTCTGCTCACTCATAATCATTGCACTAGTGAATAATTGAGGATTATCTAGATGAATAAATTCATAAACTTGTACCTTCAGTCTGCATTGATTGCCTCATTCTCTTTTTCTGTTTAGAACTCTTAGGATCAGGAGTACCTTCAGCATCCTGGTTGTGGTCCTTGTAGAACACTTTATTTTTGTATAAAGAAATTTTAGACCCTGGCTTTTTAACATCAGATGCTCTATTTGCCCTGTATTTTGACTTTTTAGGAGACTTTCACTGAATATCTTCCTTATATATTTCTACACATCAGTTAAATTGATCAAAAAGGTTAAAACCACTACTAATTCAACAAAAATACCAAAAATCTTGAGTTGCTACATCAGAATAAATCCACAAATTAAAATCCTTGAGGAATTTTTTCTAAAATGGGTAATTTTAAGTCTCTTTTAAGCTGCTTTAAAAATTATTTCCGGATATTAATCTAGGTCTTACTTTTTATATAGCTGGACCTTTTCACATCACCTTTATACCTCAGATCTTTATCGAGGTAATCATTGCTCGGCTTTATGCCAACTTCTAAGAAACTTCTTCTAAATTCCTTCTTGTAGGGCTTTTCTGCAGCCATACTGTAGGAATGGTTATTAGAATGACACATTGGTGTTTACAAAGATTAATATAGAGGAAGATACTTGGATGAGATATATAAAAACTGCTTTTAATAAATCTGGTGGAGATTTAGAGGTCAACGTTTTGGAATGAGGGAAAAGATAGGTTAGAAGAGAAATTCGTACCTTGAGTTACCTCTTGGTTTAGAGGGATTTTTGGTGCTGTCAATGTTCTTAGCTGGTCGAATCAAAGCAATGCTGCTACTTCTGGGGTGGATAGCATTTGTCGTGCCATCTTCAGTGTAGTTTCTTTCTATTGATGATCTCTTTTCCCTTGATTTGTTAGGATCTGGGTGAAGGATTGAAGTTGGTATGCATTCATTAGATGTCTTCTGATCCTTAGAAGTAATATTAGAATTCTCAGTGCTATTATTAGCAGAGGTGCTTTCAGAAGGTTTCATTTTGGCCACTACTTTCAACAGATCAGCATTCTCTTTGAGAAGTTGTAAGATTAATTTGTCCTTTTCCTCTAGTTTCAGCATAAACCTGACCTTCTCTTTCTTAAGTGCTCCAATCTCTCTATCTGGCGATCTCTCACTCAGAGCTTTCATTATCTTAGTGAGTTTTCCGAGTTCATTCTCTAGTTCTTGGATCTGACCCGTGTACTTTGCTGCACAGTTTCATGATTTCTTGCCTATAGCATAATTTAGCCTAGCTTTAAACATAAAAATTGTTATTATAAGCTAAAACTCATCATTAACAATCTTACTCTTCTCTTTCCTTAATTTTTGACTATAATGATCATAACTATTATACACCTCTTCCTTATGCTCAAGATATCTCTCATAACGATACTTCTCATCCGTCCCCTTCACATACTGAATATCCCCCATTTCCTCGTAATAAAATTAAAAACTACTAAAATCAACGTCCAAATTCACCCACGGGGTTTTGGGGTTTTGGGGTTTTGGGGTTTTGGGG